AATATCATTTATGATTTTAACTTTATACACAAGTGCCAAAATACTATAAATAAACTACCAGTTGTTGGAATTTTCAAAAGGTAATTTTATCTGAACAGTCTTTATTTGACTTCATTGGATTCTATTGTGAAAGTGAATGAATAGTAGTATATCAATTCTGGGTATATGTTATATTAGTGAAATATACACTAGGTCTGCCATTTTGCATTTTAATAGCTTTCCATTTTGTAAATGATGGTAAAAGCAGTTAAAAAATTGCCTGTTATGAACTTATCAGGCCATTTGGATTACAACCACTTTTAGTTTAAATGTTATTTATTTCAATCCTTTTAACATACGAAGCTAGCAACTTTTATGAAACATGACAGAAAACTGATAGTTGTTTTAAACAATTGGCCAAACTGGTATTTTCAAAAAATGAAAAGAAAGAAGAACGTATAATATATTTGAAACTGAAATCAGCTGCTAATGAGACTTTTTACATAATATTGAAGTTTCTAGGCTGGTTTGGCTACAACAATCTGTGAAAGGCTATTTTCATTTTATTCTTTTTGAAATACATCAAGTTATGTAGTGTATCTATACTACAGCTAGCAAAATATGGTAATAATTATAGACAGCATCTTTTAATTGATGAAGGTGGATTTCCCTTATGAAGTGTTTAAAATCATTCCATCAATACTTTGTTGTATGCCATCTACATGGAGGCCTTTCACCCATTGAACTGGTTTTGCATACATTATAACTGAAATTAAATACTTCATCAGCAAAGCTAGCTAAGTGAATTGTAATATTACTATTAATTTTCCTTACTGTATACTGGTACACAGATTTCATAATGTTTTTATATCTTATGTTATTCTAAATGTCAACCTGGAAACTTATAAAAGCCAGGGAATTTAAATAAGAGTAAAAAAAAAAGAAAGTCAGAAGAAATTAGCAATTTATCCAAAATCCAGAAAAATTGTACACTCCCTTTTATCTCAAAACTTGTATGTACACACAAATCATGCCTCTTAGCAATGTCAGTTATTGGTATGCTTTCACATAATCCTGGCAGTCAATATGTGACTAAAGTTTTATACAATACAAAAAATGCACCAACTTACCCAGAGTTCTCCACTTTCCACAGGACAACATGGATAAACTATGCCTCCAGCATACACAGAAATACTGTAGCTACACTGTAAACCCTAACTGATCAAAGTATTTAAGCTGTTAATGCAAAATTGTCTGCTGGTGTCCCCAGAGGGTTTCATAATCATGTGGACAGTTAAACTGTGGAGTACCCACCATTTTCTCATGATCAATTGTTTGTTCAGGCCTATTTGCCTTTAATGTCTACAAAGCAGCTTCTGTGAAAGTCCTAATCATGAAGAGGCATCTGCCGGTTTCATTTCTTTTCTCTCTTTGGAATGTTCTAATTTAAATTTTAAACCAATTTCTTTTAGGGCAGAGGGAGCTGATATCATTTTGGACTATTAAATTTTTGAATCTTTGTCCTCTATCTTCTCTTGATGTTCAGGTCTCTACTGTTACTTTTCAAAATTGACAAATGTTAATAGCCTTCAAGTTCTTTGTGTTCATCATGCCGGTGGTCTTTTAGCAGAGTTTTTCACTACACTCATCTTTCTTCTCAAGTTCTTGACCCTAAGATCAGTTATTTGGGTGATGGGGTCTTCCATTTTGACTAATCTTCAATTTTCTGCTCTGCGCACTATGTCTTATTTGGAGACTGTCTTCTTCACAGTTGCAAGCTATTCTCATTCCACTTACTTCTAGTTAGAATTAAAATTATACCCCACAGTGTTCCTTAACTGTGGGTCACACTGAGGTAGTTTCTGTTATCATGTTGTTGTTATATTCCTGTGATATCTTAGTCTATCATGCTGTAATGTAAAATACTTGTCTCTCTCCAAACATTTTAGCTGACCTCAAAAAGAGCTTGTTTCCTACAACATATTTCCTTGGAAGGAATTTCACCTGAATTAGTTTTCCATTCAGGAAAGCACACTAGCAGGAACTGATCAGGGTTTAAGCATCTTGTTTAATTTATTTCTGGTGGTTATTGTTCTTGGAGATGACCAGCAAATCAGATGTTAGTTCTTCTGTTTTGCTTGTTGACACTTGTTCTGTTTCTACTAGTTCATCCTAACCCAACAGTGGCCAAATGTAGAAGTAGGAAAGGTGAGTCTCTTTAAGACACTTACTATTGATTATTCTGTTCTGGATGATTCCCTCATCACGACCATTGGGGCTGGGGTCATGTCAGATCATTTGTTTTCTATGGGACCCTTGGTTTTGAGATTCTTTGGTTCAACAGATATTTCTGTCTGGTCTTTACTTTCAATTTCACCATTCTCTTCCCAACGTACTTTCCTTTTTTTCTGATCCAGTTTGCTTTATATCCTTGATCAGGAAATCTCAGATCTCTTTTAGAAAGCACTAGTCAAAATCAGATATGCTTGTTCATGTTTTTACACCAGATTATTTACGGTTCCACAGAAATCAGGAAATTAGCGGCCAATCTCAACTCAATCTTTACCTTGAGACATCTAATTTCGAAAAGGAAAACAGTAGATTGATACAAAACTTTCTTTGTCGTGGTCATTGGATGACAAAAGTGAATGTATATAGAGGATGCTTCTCATTATAACCCTATTTGTCCATGATCACATCACTTTGTTTTTTTCATACCTTTGGCACCATACACTAAGTGGTTAGTGTTTGCTGGTCTTCTCTATTTCATTTATACACATTTTCCCTTAATGTAT